AAAAACAACAACCATGACGGACAATATGAGCATTAAGTTGTTAATGTGCTGCTCCGGCCGGACAACAACTTCAAATATGTAAGCTAAGCTCCACTGTTTGCCTCCATGTTTACTTCCACAAACACTGAGCACTTCTTCTTTTTATGGCAGTTGGCAGAACACTGAGAACGCTGATGCTATTGCGCCCTCTAGTGCGCATGTGGGATATTTTCAGGTCGTTTGCCCGTTCACACTGCAGAACGCGTACAGGTTGCATTTACTGGCAGTGTGAACAGCCCCGGCAAAAAAATCGGAATTGGGTCACTTCAGCGAACACAGATTAAAACACTCGGCCAGACCTCCAGTGTGCAAAGAAGTACGTCTAATAGATTTATAAGGTATGCGTCTTATTAATTTTAGATTGTCTTTGAGAAGAAAACATTGACTTTCTTCTTGGTAAGGTTAGCTTTCAGTGATTCATTAACTTACAGCTTCCTGTAAGTTAATGTTAGCTAAAGTTATCAAACTCCATAACTGTAAGGTTAGCCCTTATTCATAAACGTTTTTGAAGGCAGGCAAATAGATTTTTCCCTCCAATTTTAATTTGGCAAATGGTAAGCTACTATATTAGTCAAAGTTACCCTTTGGGTGTTTTATTTAGCAGCTTGACGGATGTGATGTGGTGCTTGTGTTCTTGGCTTTGCCAACTTTAACCACATACAGACTCATTTTTGCCTAAGAACACATGGTAAGGGGACAAAGGACGCTACTGAAGACATGCTACAGGTGTGGAGGAGACTTATGAGGACGAGCCATGGTACAGTGACTGGTACAGTGACTTCTGGTACAGAAGAAGTCACTGTACCAGAGTATCTGGTTGGAAATCCTTCAGAATGCTCATTAAGTGAAAAGATACACTCATGTGCCTAAAAATATACATTACGTTTTGCATTAGGAATAACAGTGGTTGGAACTTCTGCCAAACAAATATTTGGTCAGAAAGTTTTGTTCAGCTCTCGTCATTATTTTACTTGTACTAAGAATAGTACATGTAATAATAATAGAATTTACAGAGTTTCCCCTAGTGTATTATAAGCCTGGCGGGTCGCTAGCCTTTACGAGTTTGGACACACCTTTTCATTCAAAGAGTTTTCTTCATTTTCATGACTATGAAAATTGTAGATTCACACTGAAGGCATCAAAACTATGAATTAACACATGTGGAATTATATACTTAAAAATGTGTGAAACAACTGAAAATACGTCTTATATTCTAGGTTCTTCAAAGTAGCCACCTTTTGCTTTGAATACTGCTTCGCACACTCTTGGCATTCTCTTGATGAGCTTCAGTCACCTAAAATGGTCTTCCAACAGTCTTGAAGGAGTTTCCAGAGATGCTTAGCACTCGTTGGCCCTTTTGCCTTCACTCTGCGGTCCAGCTCACCCCAAACCATCTCGATTGGGTTCAGGTCCGGTGACTGTGGAGGCCAGGTCATCTGGCGCAGCACCCCATCACTCTCCTTCTTGGTCAAATAGCCCTTACACAGCCTGGAGGTGTGTTTGGGGTCATTGTCCTGTTCAAAAATAAATGATGGTCCAACTAAACGCAAACCGGATGGAATAGCATGCCGCTGCAAGATGCTGTGGTAGCCATGCTGGTTCAGTATGCCTTCAATTTTGAATAAATCCCCAACAGTGTCACCAGCAAAGCACCCCCACACCATCACACCTCCTCCTCCATGCTTCACGGTGGGAACCAGGCATGTAGAGTCCATCCGTTCACCTTTTCTGTGTCGTACAAAGACATGGTGGTTGGAACCAAAGATCACAAATTTGGACTCATCAGACCAAAGCACAGATTTCCACTGGTCTAATGTCCATTCCTTGTGTTCTTTAGCCCAAACAAGTCTCTTCTGCTTGTTGCCTGTCCTTAGCAGTGGTTTCCTAGCAGCTATTCTACCATGAAGGCCTGATTCACACAGTCTCCTCTTAACAGTTGTTGCAGAGATGTGTCTGCTGCTAGAACTCTGTGTGGCATTGACCTGGTCTCTAATCTGAGCTGCTGTTAACCTGCGATTTCTGAGGCTGGTGACTCGGATGAACTTATCCTCCGCAGCAGAGGTGACTCTTGGTCTTCCTTTCCTGGGGCGGTCCTCATGTGAGCCAGTTTCTTTGTAGCGCTTGATGGTTTTTGCGACTGCACTTGGGGACACTTTCAAAGTTTTCCCAATTTTTCGGACTGACTGACCTTCATTTCTTAAAGTAATGATGGCCACTCGTTTTTCTTTACTTAGCTGCTTTTGTCTTGCCATAATACAAATTCTAACACTCTATTCAGTAGGACTATCAGCTGTGTGTCCATCTGACTTCTCCACAACACAACTGATGGTCCCAACAACATTTATAAGGCAAGAAATCCCACTTATTAACGTGACACGGCACACCTGTGAAGTGAAAACCATTTCAGGTGACTACTTCTTGAAGCTCATCCAGAGAATGCAGTGTGTGTGCAAAACAGTAATCACAAGCAAAAGGTTGCTACTTTGAAGAAACTAGAATATAAGGCGTATTTTCAGTTGTTTTACAACTTTTTTGTTTAGTACATAGTCATGAAAATGAAGAAAACTCTTTGAATGAAAAGGTGTGTCCAAACTTTTGGTCTGTACTGTGTGTATGTGGCATTTTACTGGCAGGTCAGAATTATTCCTGAAAGAAAGATGGGTTTATAGTTTTTATAGTTGATCCACTGAACAGGGAGCGCCCACCAATCAGATCTCTGGCGCCTCAGCGGGCGGCTTGATCTCTGAAGTTTACCTTGGCGCGGATCGCTCATCTGCGGATCGCTGCTACTTGCTAAACTTTACTTTATGTAAGAGAAATTATTAATGACTCTGTTATTAAATCATTTGACAGTGTAATAAAACTTAATGAAATCTTTTTTGTTCCACTTTATTTCAGGTAGGGGGAAATATTAAAGACTGTGTTGTTAGTACTCCTGTCACAATAAACAATAAAAGTAATTGCACAATAAATGACACGAAACTCAATAATTTTCAATTTCTTCATTTATCTTTCTTCTCTTTTCTCTTTCTTTCTACCAAAACTGGTCTTCAGTCTGGTGCTTTGATCTCAACTATCCCCTGTTTTGAAAGACAGTTTTGTTTACAGAGACCTAAGAATTCATTTTATTCATTGTTTCTGTTGGGTTTTTTAAAATTATTACTTTGGATATTTCCAGTGTCCTCCAGTTCCAGCATTTAAATGCTTATAAGAATTTAAAGTTTATTGATCCTTGAAAATGTGTTATTGCATTTTTACTATGCCATTATTACTATCACATTACTTGAAAATGGTCTCAAAACAATATCATTTATCGCAATAAGTTCTGGGACATTTTAATGTCCAGCAAAATTTGCAATGGTGACAGGCCTAGTGGTTAAAGCTTTTGACAGTGTAGTAAGACATAACAACCTCATTATTACTGATCCTGCTTGTTCCACTATACTTGAGGTTAGGGGAAATATTGATGACTGTGTCGTTGAAGCTTTTTACATTGTAATAACACTTAATGATATCTGTAACTAGTTCAGTGTGTTCCAGTGTGTAAGGGAAAATATTAATGACAAAACTATAATGGTTTCAGGACTGTCACAGTTCAGATGAACTAGAATTGACAGGATAATGTAATCCTGCAAAAATACATAACTTTTTAAAGTTTGGTAAAACTCACCTGCTAGGATATATTTATGACAGATGATGATTCTTGGTTAATGTCAAGTTGTCATAACAAGGATATTTTTCTCCCAAGATAATGACAAGACATTTTAAACAGTGTCAACTTTGTATTAAAAGTGTCATTTACCAAATGACACTTAATGACAACAGTCATAAATATTCATGAAGACTCCTTCATGTTCATGACAGGTGTTATGCCATGTTTAAGACAGTGTTATGCACAGCCCTTCAAAATAAGTGTTATCAAAAGATTTCAATCAGTTATGAAGTGGTCAAAAGTTTAACCCCACACTGTATTGAGAGAAGTGAAGCAAAAGGGGCCGAGCTTTTCACATTGCTAGAAGTGTTTTTTGTTTGTTTTTAGCTGTAGACACTTCCTTTTTAACAAATAAACTAAAAGAATGCTATTTTATTGGATTTTATAAAATTATATAAATTTTATAAAGTTATAAAATTTATATATAAAGTTATATTATTTTAAAATAAATTGAATTATTTTCTGCATCTGTTATTGTCTTTCTGATATTGTATACTTAAAAAAGGCTTAAATGGTAAAATAAAAAAATCTGTGAAATGTGCCAGTTTTTTTTTTTATCTGATTAGTCATTGCAATAATTGATAAATATAATTGTTAGTTGAAGGGCTAGGAAGATTCTCGTAGGCTTCACTTCTACCTACTAAGAAAACACATGCAATCAGTGTTTTCTTAATTACAGATGAATAAAGCCATTACATCAGTAACAGATAATGTATCTATAATTTCAATATGGGGCTTTTTTTTTTTAAACTTGAATAATTCTTGTGAATTGTACAGGCACGTTTCTCTATATCAGTGACCTTTGGCCTCACTCTCCAGAAGGGCCCCTGCTTAAACTGGGAGCATGATACATTCAGGGCTGAGTTCTTTTTGTCTGAGAGGAACCTTTTCTGTTCATTTGTCCACCGCTTATGACCTCCTCAGCTTTGTTCTACTTATGTGGACAAATCATCTCTGTTTAAGAAGAGTCTGATGTTGTCACCAATCTTCCTTGCTTTGCTTCTTTCACTGCTTCTTGTGGTTCTCTTGGTTTCTTTGACTTGACCTGCAAGCAGCAATGATGATCTGTGGTATTCTGTCAGTTTTAATTTTTTCCTCAGACAGTCTGGTTTCCTTTTTCCATAGATTATTTTTTGTGTCTTCCTTAGATTGCCTCTTAGTTTGTGTGTGTGTTTCTATCCGTCGATTGATCACAGCATTTGCAGTTGAGACTTTTAATGTATAATATGTGTCGTGTTTGGTTTATTAGGAACTTGAAGAGATTCGGAGATCTGGGATGAAGAACTTCAGAAACATTCAAGTTGAGGAATCAAACCTATTGTCATGGCAAGGGCTTATTGTTCCTGTAAGAAGTTGTCTCTTTTTGTTTTTCTAGGCTGATTTGCCTTAATTTGGATTTATAGTTTTAATCATTAACTTTTCTTCCAGGACAATCCACCGTATGACAAAGGTGCATTCAGGATTGAAATAATTTTTCCAACCGAGTACCCATTCAAGCCTCCCAAAATCACATTCAAGACAAAGATCTATCACCCCAACATCGATGAGAAAGGTCAGGTGTGCTTGCCTGTGATTAGTGCTGAGAACTGGAAACCCGCTACCAAAACTGACCAAGGTTAGTGGTACCACATGATAAAACTGCCTTTTTTTATCATAACTTATCTGAGCTACCTGATGAAGCTAGTTGAGCTATTTTACCAATAAAATGTTTGTTTGTTTTTTGTTTGTCAATTAATGCTATTTTGTTATTGTTTCTTTGAAAACATATTTAAAAAGCTCTTGATGTCTCTCAACCTTTTTTGGGCCACCACCCCTCTGTCCATTATCCAGGTCACTTGACTGCCCCCCTTCAAAGAAGATGTAGGCTACTTTGCACTGAATATGCAAAGATTTGTTTTGTGGCACAAAACAAATAAATTCAAACTCTATCAGCTTTCTCGTTCTGATGTTAATTACTAAATCTTCAAACTAACAAGATTTAGCAACTAACTTTTATCTGACCTGCCCAGATAAAAGGTGTAAAAGATAATTTTTTTTATCTGGCCAAATTGGCCAGATAAAAAATGTACAACAATGCTAGTTTAAACTTCAAACTATTTTCAAAAATCTGTGTTCTGCAACATTAAAGCATTGCTAGAACTGCAACTATGTCAATCATAACTCATCTTCTCTTTGGTGTTTTTGACATTTTCCTGTGGTGCAGCTCTGTGCTGACTTCAGTAGAACGGGATGTCAGAGTATCATCTATAAAATTTCACTCATGTGGCATTCACTGTGAAAACCAGTGCTTTAAGTGGAAAAATAAAAGTTCCTGAGCCTTTTAATGCCATAAATATTGGACAGAAACTTGTATTATACCTTTACAAAGACCNGACAATTAATCGCTCGGCAAAATTTATCGTGACAGGCCTATTGGTAAAATAATAAACCAAACTTGATATAGTATAATTTAAATCAGGCTAAATTTAGTTTAGGAGCAGAAAACATAAATGATTTTTCTGCAGTTTTTGCATCTAATTTCTGCCATAAATGAGAAAAAATCTGAAATGTACATATGCACATTATCACTTTAATTATTAATGATATTTTAGTAATATTAAAAAATACATATTCTAATATTTTAAAATGTATATAATTTTTAATAAAAACATCTATTTTAATATTTTGTTCATATAATTTTCACATTTCATGAGCAACATATTTATATATTTAATATTTAACTTCATATATTTCAATGTTTTGAGAATAATGTTTTTAAAAATATATATTCAAATATTTTACTATATTTTTAATTTTATGTATTTTAACAATTTAACGTTATTTAATAAGCATATTTATAATATATATTGGAATATTTCAGTATAATTTTTTATATAATTTCTTTCATTTTAATGTTTTAATATTAGTTCTTAAATATATTTTAATATTAATGTTTTCATATAATTTTAATAACATACATCTTTAAAATATAAATATAATTTTTATTTTAATATTTTTATATAATTTTTAGTAGTATATATTTTAATGTAATAATAACCCAGCCTTTAGCCCTTGTTCTTGCTGCAGGATGATGATAAATCATATGAGTCTTATAGAAGCAGCAGACCTGCTGCAGATGTTTGTTGTCGTATTTATCAGTAACTGAGTTCCTGATGAATCATCTGGGTATTTTAATGACAGGCGGCCATTTGCATAGAACTCTCACATTTCCCCGTTCAGGAGGTTTAACTTCCTTTAAGCTGTGAACTGTCGGCGTACGTCCGCCGTTCCTCTCTGGTAGGAAGCAGGCAGCGTTAGTGGAAATGATGAACCATCGGCTGCCTTCATGGAGAGTGTGTTTCACCACAGTGGCAGATTTGGCGCCACCACTTCCGCCTCGTGGCGCCCACAGCTGGTGAGAAGCAACAGGCTCGTTTCAGGATTTTAAAGCTGCAGGCTGCTGCTGGTGGTGAACCGACGATGATGAACGGTTCGTCTCAAACCATCTCCACACTGGTGGGGGCTAAATTAATCACATTTTCTCCATTTTTGTGAAGCGGTGTTCAAACGATGAGTGTGTAACCTGCACACTCAAACGATGGTGATTGAGACATCACCAACGTCTCAATCACGCCGTTGAGACGCTTGACATCACCAACGGCGGGCTTGGTTTGGTTTCTACGCCCACCGCTGAGCTGAGGGAGGAAGCTTCTGAGGTCGGCTGGGATTTCCTCTGATTCAATAGATTTGAAAGCGACACCGCAGCGCGCAGAGCAGAGCAGAATGGCCCGGCGGTACTGGGGAATGTCACTTCCACCTGAACTTATCCCACATGCAAAGCAGCATCTGAGAGCCAAGAGTCAGGGTGTCAGGAATCCATCCAGCGCTGATTTCTGCTGTGAGGCAACACCTGGAGGCAGCGTCTCTCCTCCGCTACTGTCACTTTAATCTCACTCACATCGGTTTGGTTAAATAAAACCTCAAATCACAGCAAACCTCATCTCAAACCACTTTACTGTAGAAAAAAAGCCACACTTCTAGGTTTATTCTGTATTTGCTTGCGGTTTTAAAATAACTTCTGCAGGGTAAAAAGTCTTATTTTTACTAGATTTGTAGAATCAAGCAGTCAACACAGTAGGGCCTGTCTGATAGCATGAAGTAGGCTGCAAGAGAATAGATGAGAAACAAAGTGGAGGCGCCGTTACTCTGCATCCAGTCATGTAATCAAAATCATACTGTCACAAAAATGTTCATAGTGCCATCATTTATTATCTAATTTCTATAAAATGTGGCTTACATTAAAGCTTTGATATGTAAAATTTATATTCTTTATAAATATAAATCTATAAACAGTTTGGTTTTTGTCAAGATGTAAAAGAGGACAGGACAAATTTCCATTTTATATTAGACAATTTAATTTTACATAATTGGAGCCATAGGAGTCATGGTGCAGAGATTACATTAGCATCAACACCAATGGATGGATCAAGCATATTCTAAGCTCCGGAGGCCTTGGTTAAGGTCAGACATCATGATTCAACAGCTAAAAAGAGACTGGGCAAAAATGGCCTCCCTAGAAGAGTTCCAAGAGCGGAATCATTTCTGACCCAGAAGAACACACAGGTCCGTCCCACATTTACCCAAAAACATCTTGATGATCCCCGAGACTTCTGGGAAACCGTCTACGGACTGAGTTTTGTTACATTTGGCATGAAACTAACATTTCAGAAACAGTTGATCACACAGAGTCATGCCGCTGCATGTTCATCCTGATAGACGGAGAGGAACCGATTCCTCGTTATCCAATAGAACCCGGTCCACTCCGGACAGGAGCCGCATCTGCTAGCATCACTAGAACCGACATTACTCCTCTACTAGTACTGAACAACATGCTTTTTTAGTAGATAGATCTCTGAAGTGATCATTGTCTCTGTGTAGCGTGAGCTGCTGTTAGCTAACCATCCCAAAGCCTGATGTTTCCATGGAGACCGCTGTGAGCGAGTTGGACAGTGATCACTGATAATGATCAGTCCACATTAATGAAAAGCAGTTTATCAGAGGCCTGCTCTGCTGTAAGCGTGTTAGAGAGGGACGCTGACGCAGACGAACAGAGAGTCTGCGGCTCCGACATGATCAGACACAGCCGATCAAACTGATAGAGTCTCCATGGAAACCAGAAACAGATCAGCTCCTCCTGCGTTTCGCACTGGGGTTGGCTTTCATGTCTGCTGTAGTCGGAGTTTGTAACACACAGGAACATGTTCAACACGTTGGTTTGAGTGTGATCTGGTGGATCTATAGATCTGTAGATTACTGGCTGCTACTATTGTTTTACTGACTGACTTAATGCTGATCTAGTGAGTAGCTTAACTTCTGGTTAACTTCCCAGAAGTTGACTGGTTTTAACTGGCTGAGCAGCAAATGGACTCAGGAATGTGCTGACTTAGTGTTTGGTTTTTGTTTTCCTTACAGGAAGTCATTTAACTGGTTGTGTTGCAAATAAATGTTCTTCTTTTTCACTTACTTTGTTTAGTTTTTTAGCTCACTAGTCTTCCTAGTTATTCCAGTAAAGAGGATAGGCTGTGATTGGGTTCACTCATCTCTTGGATTACTGGCAGCTTTGTTGTTGTATTCATGGAAAATGGAAAATGTGTGTATTTGTAGAGTGTATGATAAATAAAATGCAGGTTGGAAAGCTGGAAACATGAACTGTGGTCCGCCTGAAAACCTCGCTCTCTGTTCGGTTGAAGTGAACTCTGGTGCGGTTTGAATGTAGATGTGAATGCCAAGTGGACCAGAGACTGCTTCAAATACAATCTTGCATGGCATTCTGGGTAAATGCAAGCAAAACAAATGAAAGAGTCATGAACTAGCAGCAGAAATGTCTCGTAAATAACCGATGCAACTTTATTTGTGTTTACATTTCACGATAAAGGAAGTTGCATTCATTGTCTTTTTTCGTGTAGTTTCCTCCAGTGGTTCTTAGTGCAGTGCCCCCACAGGTGAGGAGGGGAACAGGTTGCTGAAAGGGTTTGGTTGGTTTGACTCAGAGCAGAGAGAAAGAGAACCACAGCAGCTGAAAATGTAACAAATGTAACTTTGGTCCCAATCGAACCGAGTCTAGTCTTTAAAGTAGACTAACTTTCTGCACAAATTACACACACTTCCTACATCTGACAGTAAAAAGTATTTAAATGTAGTTTTACTGAAAACCGCCCAAACCACTCAAGTGTCAGACTGACTGCAGAGTTTTCAGATGAGTCAGGCCGGCTGAAAGTGAGACCCAGCAGCAGACCTTGTAGCTGGACAGACGGCAGCCCTCACAGCTACCTCCAGCTCCTGCTCATTAGTTATAAAACTCACTTCACAGTGCGTGCGTGTGTGTGAGAGTGTGCATGTGTGTGTCTGGGGGGCTGTGTTTCCTGTCCTCAATGAGTCCATGGCACGACAGCGATAAGAGCGCCGGAGCTACATTATGTTTCCAACTCCATTACAGATTAGTCCAGATTGCTCCCCTCCTCCTCCCCAAAGCCTCCTCATCCTCCCATCCTTTACTCCTCCTCCTTTCTCTCCTCCTCCTCCAATCAGCATTATAATATTCAGCAGCTCTAAACTGGAGAACATGTAATCATGCAAACCAGTGGAGAGCCAGACATCAG